ACAAAAAAAAAAAAAAAAAAAAAAAAAAGTGCAATGTACGTATTGGATTTTTCTAAAGCATAAGAAATGATCCCATTTAAAGCTACATGACTACGCCAGTTGTTGAGTAAGGCAAATCGTAACTAAAACTGAAATGTTTCATTGTTTTAATTATATTAAGTTTCCATTTATATTGTCAGGGCTAGGGCTCAGACCCTTCAAAACCATTGTAAAGAATGGGTCACCAGACCCCAAGCATAAGAAATGATCCCATTTAAAGCTACATGACTACGCCAGTTGTTGAGTAAGGCAAATCGTAACTAAAACTGTTTCATTGTTTTAATTATATTAAGTTTCCATTTGTATTGTCAGGGCTAGGGCTCAGACCCTTCAAAACCATTGTAAAGAATGGGTCACCAGACCCCTCACACGCAGGTCCAAATTGGGAAAGATCCTGGGAGCCGTTGATAGATGACACAAGCTCAGTCCTCACCAACGGCAGCCACAGCTTACAGCAGCAGCGGCGGTGGCCTCTCGGGGCATCCCAGGGACACTGGCAGCAACAGCTTGCAGCAGCAGTAGCAGCCTCCCCATGGCCCCCATGGGGGCATCCCGGGGAGGGAGATGCCATGGATCAGAGCCATTCGTCCTTTATAATTAGGTCATAACCCAGGACACCTGGGTGGACATACTTAGAGTTTGAACAATCCATTAGAAGCAGGTAGAATATAAGGAACACCTGAAGGTATGTAGGTAGGAGTATAATGACCTTTTCCTAAGGAGTTTTATAATGTCTTCCTGACATTTTAAAACACTGTTCCTAATTTAAAAAAAAAAAAAGGCAGGGAGAGGTGAAGATCAGGTTTCTTTGACAACTTAGCATTTATCGCACAAGCCCTGGAAAAACTAAGACTTTTAAAAACCTAAGCCCTTCTTTTCTTTCAGCTACAACCCTTTCCCACAGTCATCCTGAATTACATTCACTTTCTTGTCCACAATTAGCCAGCCCTGCTGCTTTTACCTTCTAAGCACTTCTCCAATCTGCACTCTCATCTCCATCCTGTCACCTGCCATCATAGCTGAAGTCTTTGTCACATCTCACCTAGACAAGTACAGAAGCCTTAGAGACCTCTCTGCCTCTCTATTCCTTTAGATCCTTCCTTCACACTGTTACCAGTGTGATTCAGTGAAAATACAAATCTGACCTTGAACCCTCCCTGTTTAAAACTTTTCAGTACCTTCACTACTCACAGAATGAGGTTCAAGGTCTCCCATGTGGCCTACAAATGTCTTCAATGGTTTTCTACCAGGAATGCCACCAGGTTCCTGTGTGGGACATTTCTAGATGTCTCAATGTCTGGTGGTGCAACTAGCATTTTGTGCCTGGGGACCAGGGATGCTAAACAGTCTGCAGTACCCAAGAGCACCTGCACCATGAACTGTCTCCCCGGACTGCCAGTGGTGCCATGCTTGAGAAAGACTCCTCGTGGTGCCTGCTTACTTCTCCAGCCTTCTAGCTCCCTTTTCTACAGTGCCACTTCACAAAGCTGTTCTTCCCCAACACAGGCCATGCTTTTCCTTGGCTTTGTACCTTAATTCTTTCTTTGTGTCTCAATTCTGACACTTGGAATGACTCTCTTCACTTTACTGACTCATCTTTTAAGCTTCAGCCCAGGTGTCACCTCCACCAGGAAGCATCTACACACAGACCCCATCTGACTCAGATGCTTCTTCCTGATAAGACAGTGGTGCTTTGTAATTATGATATGCTCTATACTCACCAGTTTGTCTTATAACTACTGATTTTCTCCTTCACTCTAATGTCCTTCATGGCAGAAACTATATGCACTCAGTAGACCTTATGTAGACATGAAACTCTGAGCAATAGATGGATGACTGGTTGAGATCAAGGACTTTTTAGGTGCCCATAATGTAGACAAAAAATACAAGCATTATTTTATGGCTCAGGCAATGGTTGAGATCAAAGTTGCAGATCTGGTCATCTGCCTTTAGTTCCAGCATTCTACGCCGTACAGGTCTCCCTGTGTCCTTAATCTTCAGTTACTAAACACCCCTTTAAAAGGTGCCAGACAGCACCCTGCATGACATTCCACTTACCCATGTTGAGGACTGTGGGTTGCGAAGAGCAATGTGACAGGCAGTTCTGTTCGGTAACTCTGTGTCCAGTCGGCTCAAGAACTCAGAAGTTTTGCTACCAGGAACACAAAGAGGTGTTAGTTCCTTTATAAAAATAGAAATGCCATTGTTTCTTGTACCTTATATTATCCTAGACTTTTATTAACTGATGATTAAAAGTGTCCTAGCTGGAACAAAAGGTTAGGTGGAGAACAAGGTATAGTAGAAAGTCAAAACAAAGTGCTACTGCAAGACTGAATTCTTGAAAAACATTAGTTTGAAAAATATAAAAGTAGGTTTGTGAAATGTGAACCTATGATTTTACTTTTTCCACGCTGTGCTATTGACATAGAGATAAATGCTCTCTCAGATTGCACAGTATGGGGCCCTAATTTCCTATCTGAACCTTTAACGGCTGATACTCAAACTTCAGTATAGAGTTGTGGAATATTAACCCCCAACAACGTCCCACCAGTTTTACATTAAGCCCTTCACCCTCTAGGAGGTTTTCTCTGAGTCATCTCATCTCCCTCGTGTCTTTGACTACTCTCAGAATACACAGACCCCCTGATCCAGTAACTCTTTTCCATTTTTGGACCACTGACCCCCTTGGGATTCTGAAAGCAAAAATAGACCCTCTCTCTCCAGACAGATGGACAGACACACACGCTTTTGCATTTAAAGGAGGTGATGAACCTCCTTTTATAGAGCTTTAAAAAGCGCTGCTGATTCTGTTCTGCATTTCTGACATCTTTTTAGCCCTGAAAGCCTAGAAATGTCTTCAGTTTTAATTAAAAGTCCTTTGTTTTTACCCTTAAAAATCCAAACCACCACCCCAATTTTTCTTCTTACCTGTGTTCAACATAGAACACTAGAATCATTTCTTTGTCCTTACTTCAACACCTGCCCCATTCTACCTACCACTGATTAATTTCTACTCCTTTGTCTTTTTCCCATGTAATTTGTGGTATTTTTACTCCCTTATTCCACATTCACAACCAAAGACCTCAATGAGGCCTGATTTACATGGCACCAGACTCCTGCAGCCTGCTCCCATCTGTCTCCCTCCTTCTGCTATCCCTCCACTTCCCCCTAATATTTTAAGCCAAATGCTAAGATCCAACACATCAATTACTTAGGGTGTGGGCATCAAAGAAAAGACAAAGGGTCTGCTAAAGACAAATGGCATCCAGTGGAAAGAAAATCAAAACAAGGAATTAGATATTAAACAGAGACACCGACATCACTTCAAATAATTACTTAGGTAGAACATAGCATCTGAACAAGGTCAGGAGCTTAAGCCAGGGAGGGGAGGGCAGAAAGTGAAGCCACATACATACCCCTGAGAAACACAAGGCTTTGGCAGCGGCGACAGCAGCCTTTCCATTTGTCTAGGATTACTTATCTTGCCCAAAATAGACAAGGAGACTAATGAAGCCACAGAGTCTGGAAGCTGCCCCACTGTCTGGGGCTTTATGAAGTCATCAGTCAAAAGTGTAAAAAGAAGAGAACTGCCAGAAGTTTGGACAAGATTTCTAAGTATCCTTAGCTGAGTACAGACCATGGGAGAAGGTGGGGGGAAAGAAACACCATGATAAGCGAGGAAGGAATTTCAGACTACATTGACTGGCGGCCCCTCGGCATGTGCCGACTGCAGCTTCTTACCTGCCAATGCCAAGCACAAAGCTGGCTGGACAGCCAGCCGCCAGCCATGGCCCCATGCCCATGATCACTGACCCACTCATGCTGCAAGACTAAAGCATAATGACAGGGTCACAGGATCACCAGGGTATACAAGTAGGGGCCTGTGGAGAATGTGAATTACTCCAAAGTGATCGAAGAAAAGAAATCCCAGGTTACTAAGCTAACTGGTATTTTTCTACTATTTGCACAGTGCCTGATGTATAATAGAATTTCCATATATTGGCTGAACTGAATTGGGATCCCTATAGGTAACTGTGGTAATATTTAATAAAAATAAGATATAGAACCTCCTTGAGGGGCAAACAGAGGAAAAGGTCCTTGTGGGAAGTCCAACAAGACTGAGATCTAGCACTGTGAGTTACCTTTCCCTTGGGGTTTTCTCGCTACTTATCACCACTATGACACTACTACTGGTTGGAGAGGGGGGGTCCTCTTCTGCTTTATCACTTTGACCTAAGCATGAAGGACTTTTTCCTTTATTCTCCATAGAACAACTGGTTAGACTGGTTTTGAAGATACAGCTGACTCATGCCAACTTATGATCTTTAAGGATCCTTCCTGCTGTTTTTAGGGTGATTCTTATGGCTTATCCTAAAATGCCTCTTCAGAATAACCTCAGGTCAGCATAATAAAGTTGTAGCAAAGACTAATGCTCATCAAAATTGATGTTCTTGGGCCGGCCCCATGGCTCACTTGGGAGAGTGCCATGCTGGGAGCGCAGCGGCGCTGGGAGCACCGAGGCCTCGGGTTTGGATCCTATATACGGATGGCTGGTGCGCTCGCTGGCTGAGTGCAGTGCGGGCGACACCAAGCCAAGGGTTACAATCCCCTTACCAGTCAAACACACACACAAAAAAAATTGATGTTCTTTTGGTCACACAATTTGCCCACATTCTTTAGCTTAGCTGGCCACATAATCCCCTTACCAGTCAAACACACACACACAAAAAATTGATGTTCTTTTGGTCACACAATTTGCCCACATTCTTTAGCTTAGCTGGCCACATGACTGAGCCTTGACCAATGGAATGTGACAGGAAGTGATTCACACCATTCCTAGGAGTTTTTATAATCTTGCCACACATGTGCCCCCAAACAGTCGTCTTCTGGCTGGCTGGCAAAGAGACACCCTCAGGAAAATGTTGCAAGTTTTATGCTGAAGGGGTGGAGCTTCTGTTAGTTAGGTCCCTGAATATCTGGGTGGAGGAGCCACCTTTTAAAACTGTTCACCCATGTCTTAAATGAGCAAGAAAAAAACACAGTGCTGGAGCTATTATATATTTGGGGCCTTTTATTACAGCAATTAGCTTGCCCTTATAATAAAACATGAAGTAATATATACAAGAGAATTATTTCTCTTTTTAGGTGAACAATTCCAAAAGTTTATGAGAAGAAGTCAAGAAGAGTTGAAAATAGAAAAAATGAATTCAGGATTCAGTTTGGCTTCTTAGTCATTTCAGAACTTTAGGATGGAAAGGTGAAGGCGGAAAAGTAAAAAGACTATTCTTCCTTGAGGTGTCTTCTTGTCAGTACTAGGAGCTACCTAGACCCAGAATACAGAAATTCATACCAATTTACCCTATTACCACAAAGATCATGACTAATTTGCAGATGGGTGGGGGTTTGAGAGGAGAAACTTTATTGTGAGAAAATTAGAGAAGGGGAGGAATGTAGCTTGTTATATTGCAATATGATGGAATACTTAAAATCTGTTAATAGAAATTCATCGGTAATGAAATTTGACCTATGTGAAAGGATAAAAAACACAGGAAAGGCCATAGAGAGTGGTACGTGTATCTGTTAACTCATTTGAATAGCCCAGAATTGCAAAGGCAATTCCTATAAGATTTCTTGTTTGTTTTGATAGAAAACTGTGGTTTTTAATGTTCAAGAAAGAAACAGTAAAGATAAATAACATAGACGTGTGGGAGCTTGGGAGTCAGGAGCCTGCCACTCATCGTGCACCTGGGCTACAGGGTGCTGAGCACCTTTCTGTACTGCGTTACCCACATCAGCCAACTTTGAACCATGACACGATACATTAAGAACATTCTAATGTTAAACTACCAATTTTAAATTTAGACAGTCATAATTAGGAAGATAACCTTAATAAAAATAATCAGTTACAAACCTCTCCCCTGGTACTTTTTTCTTTCTGGGAATGGATGGGATAGTCTTACATTTTCTCACCTCCTGTTAGCTAACATATGATCTCAAACAACTACAAGGTGCAGACAGGTAATGTAAATGAGTAAGGGAAAATAGGAGCTCAGACCCAGTGATAAGTGACAACTGCCACTTGCGTCACTGATGGAGAGATAAGACAGAGTAGTGGGGATTGTGACAAACTAAAGACTGATCTTCCATGTAAAGGGGTCAGCTCCTACTCAGCTCCAGACCATCACTGCCCCTGGGGACACAGACCAGCATTGCCAGATGTCCTAGTTTTTACAGGTATAACCAAAATGTGGAAAATTTTTAATGTGAAATAATTTGGTAACTAATTAAAAATCTTTGAAACGCCATGAGCCAAAAACTGCGCTGATTAAAAGAAAAAAAAAAACACGGAACAACAAAACTCTGCAGATCAGATGTGGCCCAAAGTCCACCTGATTGTGACCAGCTGGTTTTGTTTCTGCCTGTTCAGGCTTGTGCCATTCACTATATTTCTCAAATATATGTCCTTTATGTTTATTTTAAAAAGAACTAATGAGCAAGGTTGGATTCTAGTATTAAAGAGGGGGCTGAGAAACAGCTTCTATGCTGGTTTATGTACCATGGGTCTTCAAAAAGTTCAAAAAGGCTTCAAAAAGATTCTGTTCATTCTATTTTTCCATGATCTTTTTGATGTACCCTTGTACATCAGTAGAAGAAATTATATCATACTAAATTTCATATTTACACCAAACACTAAAGTGTTTTATTTCATTTACTGTTTATAACTCTCTATATTTTTATTATTATATAAAAAGCAATGGTGAAACACTATACATAAGATGAAAAGACAACCTACAGAAAAAAACTATAACCAAAGAAAAAAATAATAGCATTAGTGTGCAAAATACACAAAGAATGCCAACAGATCAAATTAGAAAAAGACAAACAACTCAATAGAAAAGTGGGCAAAAGGTAGAAACATGCACTTTGCAGAAGAAGAAACCCAATTAATAATAACAAAAAGAGCAACAGTAACAACTTAGGACTTACATAGTGCTTATTATGTGTCAGGCCCTGTTGTAAGCACATATCCATATATTAATTTCATCACAAAGGTTCTTTAGAAGTAGCTTGCTCAAGGTCATACAGCTAGTAAGTGTCAAAACCAGGACTCGGACCTGGGCAGCCTGCCTCCAGAGGCCATGCTTTTAGCGACTTCTTATAAGCAATATCCTTGTGAAAAAATGTACAATTTCACTAATAACTGGGGACATGAAAATTAAAACAAGATACCATTTCACACCTGTCAAGCTGGGGAAAAGTAAGTATGAAAACCTTGCCATATGCTAGGAAATGTGTCTGGCAGAGCTGGTCCTCTTATAAGTTGCTGATGGGAGAGCAAATTGGTCTTAGTGCTTCTGACAACAACTTGGCAATACATGGAGAATTGAATATTCTCCATGAGTTTCTCTACTCTAGAGAAACTCTTGCATAGGTGCCCAAGGAGACCTGAAAAAGGATACATAATCCAACACCATTTGTATGAGTCCCAGAGATAGAGGGAAGATGGAGGGAGGAAGGAAAAGAAGATTGAGAGGGAGGAAGGAAAGGAGGGAATGAATTAGATTTATATCATGAATCAGCATGGTTAAGTCTCAAAGCAACGTCCAGTGGGGGGAAAAGACAATTTGTCAAAATAATGAAACAGTGATATATTAAAAGAAAAAACAAAAACAAAAACCCAGCAGTCTGTACTTTTTGTGAATTCCTAAATATGCAATAAAATTAGAAAAACTTGCATGGTGAGAAAGAAGAGCAGCTCCTGACATCCAGGATTTGATCTAATGCTCACATCTAGACCTGATGTTGTTACAAACTCATCCGACACTGTGGGTAAGCCTTGTTCTTCTGTTAGACATAAACAGTTGCACAAAACAGCTACTTCATACAAGGTCATCATGCAATCTGCAAATTACCAAACATTCCCCCCTCTAACTAGATAAGTGTCTGTTGCTCCTTTGCCAGTCATAGCTTCACACTTGCTCTAGTCTGTCCTCCCTATTGATAAAATTTGAGATGCCCAATCACAAAATTTCCCCATGTTCTGATGGCTCCCAATCCAGAGCCACCCCCTGCTTCCTTAGACCCTTTCCAAAATTACCCAACCAAAGCCCACATTCTGTAACAGCTTATTTCCAACACCGTCTTACAGAGATACCCCACAGTTCCGTTCCCCCCTCTCCCCTCTCTCTCTCTCCCTCTCCCTCTCTCTCTCTCTCTGCTGGAGCTGGGATACACTCTTCTCTTCCGTCTGCGGCCATCAAAACTTGAGGCCTCCCCCCTCTCCCCTCTCTCTCTCTCCCTCTCCCTCTCTCTCGCTCTCTCTGCTGGAGCTGGGATACACTCTTCTCTTCCGTCTGCGGCCATCAAAACTTGAGGCTCTTCAGCCTTTAGGTTCCAGGACTTACACCAGCAGCACCTTTGAGCCCTCAGGTCTGTGGCCTCAGACTGAGAATCATACCCATCGGCTTTCCTGGTTCTGAGGCTTTTGGACTTGGACTGAGCCATGCTACCAGCATCCCCGGATCTCCAGTGTGCAGATGGCCTACTGAGGAACTTCTCAGCCTTCATAATCAAGTGAGCCGATTCCCCTTTTAATCCTCTGTCATATATCTGTGTGGATATCCTGCTGGTTCTGTCTCTTCGGGAGAACCCTAACACAAAACCTCAGTGTGTCTTAGGAACTGTGTGCATAGGCACTGTCTAAAAACACACCATCTATACTTTGTGATTGCTTCACACACCAGACATTTGCCCCCATGAGGCTTGGGTAAGTAAGTAATCATTTTTACATTCACACATGCATTCATGCAGACAACAAATA